TAGTATAGGCGCCCAATATCTAACCGAGTTTAGATGATTTGATTTATTGTATGATTGTATTTTTTATATTAATATCGAAGTCTTTCTATTCATTCTTGTTGTTTATAATTTAATAAAATTAGATAGTAGTCCATATGATATGCATCGCATTAATGATTTATCAATTAATATAAGACAAACATTGATGTATTTAAATGATATTATGAAATATCTCAAGTCGTAGCATTATCAAAATTAGACATTGATAACATGCGATAAAACTTATGAGTGTTATACTCTTACTATTAGATAACAGGAAGAGATTTCACACCTACTAGTATGGTGATGCCAAAGAAAACATTTAGTTGAATAATGCCGGAGAATATATATCACTTGGACGTGACTCGTCATGAGACCCATTTGGTTTAGTTTATGAAAATCTCATACGAGATGGGTACAACTAGTTCTTTAACTTAAAGTTTTCACGATTATCTCATTAGATGATTAATGTATTTTAATATTCGTTTCGATGGGCTCAATAAAGAGTCGCATGTGGATAATTCATTGGGTGCATTAGAAATCTAATAAAGATATATAAGTGGATGATTGAGATAGGATATGTCATTTCTTAAATGCTAAAGGAGTTATCACATTGTACTTCGATGAATATCAACTCAAAGAATTTGTAGCTACATCGAAAGTGTACCAATAAAGTATAATTGGTTTACTTATAAGCTAAGATATTTAGAGATCGAAGAGTGATGATAATCGAACAAGCTATAAATCAAGTTCGAGATCACTCTATGATAAATTAATATGAAGACCGAATTGTATGAAAACCATTCTCATGAAAATTAATTATGGATTAATTAATCATTATCGAGAATTAGATAGTCATAATGCCTTACTAAAGGCCAATCTTGATTTATATATCAAGAGATAAAAAAGGTGTTTTTTATCTTCTTGATATATTATCAACATATGTAGGAATCTATTGAGTCACACGCATAAGTTTAAACATTCACACGATAAAAGAGAAGCAAAGGTTATTGAAAAATATTTTTTATTTTGAAAAGTTAGTTTCCTAAAAGAAAAATTTAGTTTCCTATTTCGAAATCAATTTTTTAATTTAGAAGTTAGTTCCAAATTTAGAAGACAATTACCTAAAAACAAAATCAGTTTTCTAATTTAGGTTTATGGATAATTTGAACAATTATTTCCTAATATGAGCTCCATTAAAATACTTGACCCATTTTATTTGGATGGTACAAATTAATTAGTAATTAATTAAGTCAAAAAAATTTGGACCAACAGGTGTAATTTAAAAGCTTATAAGATATTTTGATGGAAGGATAAACTTGAGTACTATTGAATAAGGCTAAGGGTTTATAAGGATAAGATTAAACAAGTCCACACATGTTGTAACTTCTTGTCCTTAGAGGATAAGATGCTGCCACTTACATAAATAAGAGAGGGAAGGAAGAGACATGGCTAAGACAAGAAAAAGAAAGAGAGACATGGCATAAGAAAAAAAAATATCCTAAAAAAGTCTCTCCCAAAGAAAAAGGTTTTTGCACCCTTCCTTAGAAAAAGCAAGTTGGCGTAAAAACCTACTTAGATTTGTTGAGAGAAAATTTATATAGAGAATAGTTAGAGCTAGCTCATGATGATTTCTATTGCTCTAGTGTGAGGGTTTGAGTTGTGTGGATAATCAATGAGGCTAGATACTTAGAAGGTTCATTTCCACTTGAATTATTTCTATGCTATAAAAGATAAATTACTCACTCTAATCCGATTCATATTTATGTATGATTAGTTGATTCAACAACATGATCTTAGGAACCCTAGATGAAAGAAATTTTTTTGTTTATTTCGTATCTACATAGGATGTATGATCCTTTAATTAGTTGAATGGTATGAAGAATGCAAAGTGGAGGAAGGTAGGAGGGAAGGTGGCAACGTATAATGGAAACTTAAGAGATTTTTGGATAATTGACAAACACAAGGAGGTAGTTTATTTGAAGATAAAGATCCACTAGAATCCAAAAGGGGTAAGTTGTAATGCCCCCGCCCTGATCATATATCTACTACCCAAGTAAGTGCTCGGACGAAGCGCATTACGACGACATACCCTAAACTCTAAGTAGTTCTCTTATGATATTCTTAAAACTTTAACAACACATTACTTATATAACTCCTTAAGAGAAAATTTACATAACATAATTAAATACATTAATAAAACATTACGAGCAATATTCAATTTCTCACGAACTCCATACCTCAAATTTACGAGAAAAAATAAAAACTAATATATGGTGCCTCACATGAGCCGGTTAAGAGGAGTCGACCGCATCCGTACCAACTTGTCCTTTTCTTGTCACGATATAAAAATAACAACGGGGTGAGCCGAAGCTCGGTAAGTGGGGTGATGCACGTGATATGCAATGTTGTTTTGACTTCCCACCATACTCATAAATTTTAATCTCGGGTACTCTAGGAATTAGTCGATCTACTCTATTTATCATTTGGGTGGTTCGTAGATCACCTTCTCGCTACAACGGAATGATCCCTCGTTGTAACTACCGTTAGCGGGAATCCATCGTTTAACAAGTATAAGCACACAACTTGATTTCATCCGGATGATCCTCGGATCATCTTCTCGTTACAACAAAATTATCCCTCGTTGTAACTACTATTAGCGAAAATCCATCGTCTAATAATGCGGTGCACACGACCTAGAGTACTCGGACTACTAATACCCATTTATTCCAATTAAGTTATCAAATCTAGATGTATAAACCATTTCTCAATCAATTGACTTATCTTAAACCACCCACTATACACATGATGCACGTGATGTTATGTTTACCGTGTTAAACGTACTAGGGGCACCAACCTTACACTATAAATTCTTTCCCTATACAGGGGTTCGATTCTAGATATTTTCATCGGTCTAACCCATATAGGGTTCCCGTAGGTCCGACCCACACAAGGTCTCCTTAGGTCCAACCCACATAGGGTTTTCATACATTTCCATACCATTCCTACACCGTATTCCCTCAAGGAGGGCCCATCATTGCCGACTAGTAATAGTCCGGCCACCGATTTTCTTTTGCGCCCGGGCACGCTTTCTCGCTTATTTTTGGTGAGATTCATCATTTCACTTGATTTATGTGGCCATCGATTTTCTTTTGCACGTGGGCACGCTTTTTCGATTATTTTCGATGAGTTTCGTCATTTCACTTGATTTACGTGGCTATTGATTTTAAGGGTTGCTTTGTGGCATACCATGGTAAAATTCTATTCTAGGTACTATTAAATCATTACTCATAAGACTCGGATGGTTGAGACTAACTAATCCGTACGTATCAAATTAGGATTTCTTTCCTAACCCTAGCTTGGGTATTTATAGTCGAATTTTATCCGCAATGGGCCTAGGTCATGAATTCGATTTACTCTTGAATTCTTACCTCTTAGTATTTTATTCAACACTTGTTTAAATATAATTTAACTCTTAATCAAAAGGTTGGAAGGTCATAAAGTCCTAAAAATAGCCTAAGGTTTCCCTTCCATTTTTATTAAATCTCTTCCACTTTAGCTTATTATTTTGCACTTAATTGGATTGCTAGTGGTTGTAGTCCTTAAAGTTCATAAAAGAAATCCAATTGTGCTCACTTTGGGATTCCTAGGCCGAATGGGTTTTTAAGAAAGCCCTAAGCATTCCTTTATTTCTCTTCCAATTTCTTCATCCCCATTTTCGGTCCAAGTCCTTAAATTTTTTTATCCCACAATCATCAACACATGATAAAATATACATTAGGCATGATAGACTTCAAAGAGCACATAGAGACAATATAACCAATAAATTCAAACCAATCCATCCACATTAAGCCAATACAAATCGAACCATAACAATACAAACAACAACTTAATTAAATACATGAATTAAATTCATAGAAAGAACAAGCATGAAGTAAAACCCACTTACCTAGCTTAGATGTGGTTAGGTTTCCTTAGCTTTTTTTTTTCTTTTCTTTTCCTTTCCCTTCCTTTCTCTCCTCATGTTTTTTTTCCTTTCTTTTCTTTCTTGCCTTTTCTCTCTCAATTTTTGGTACCTACGGGTTGCTAAAATTTTTCTCACCATTTTAACACTTGCTATATATATATATATACACACACTTACTTACTTACTTCCCTTCAGCTATAAGTGTTAGAAATTAATGGGACAAGGTGTAAAAGTTATGGGTGAGTCATGGGGAAAGGTGGTCGCTTTGGGACCATAATGGGTGAGTTGGCCTTAAATTCATTTATTGCATTTGCTTAGGTGTCTACATAACATTTAGACTAATTAAACTCACTAATCAACTTAATTAAAATAACTAAACCTACTTTCTTTCATAAAAAATTCGAAAATTTCCATTTTTAAAATTCGAAATTTCTTTTTCTCCAAAATTCCAGCAGTGTTACCTCCTAACCCATCTATACTACAATGAGCATAACTCTTTCTATATATATCCAAAAATTATGAAATTTTATAGAGAGATATTAGACACATAGAAGAACAACGTTTATTCTTTACGTTTTTCTCAAAAATCAATCTAACATCATCAAATAAATCTCACAAGATTCGAGCAGATTCTTCTCTCGAAATTCCAGCAGAATGCATTTCAAAACAACCCTCACCATAATGGATATAACTCTTAATGTATAGGTCCAAAAATTATACAATTTTATACAGGTCTATTCAACACATAGATGAACAACTTTCATTCTTTAAGGTTTATAAAAAAATTACCCTAAATTCCTCAAATAATTCACACAAAACTCGAGCAGAACATAGTCCTTAAAACACCGATTTTACATATTTGATTTCTTTAATAATTAAACAATTAATCTTAAGCACAATAAATTTAATTTAAAATAAATCACATATTTTAAGTATTAATTTCTCATGATGAAATGAGAATTATATTTATTTTTAATATACGTATATATAGAATTATTCTAATATACGTCACATTATGGATAAGGATTTTTACGGAGGTTACATAAGTGATCCAAGAAATGCTCATGAAAAGGCAAATTCATATACCATTATTGAAGGACCGAGTATTAATGAATTTTGTGGGAAGATGCTGTTATGTAGAAGTAGGGATTAAATGTTGAATTTTTGTTAGGATAGACTGGATTGTAGTGGAGGACCCATGCGATAAAGAATCTACCATGAAGGACTGGTGAGTTGTACATGGCCTAAGATGTGTAAACCTATCAAAGGAGAAAAAATCTAGTTCGATGTGGGGAGGCCGCATTTAATCTAGTGGACTAGTTGTTGTAGCCTACTCAAGAGAAAAGAGCCAAGCTCGTTGCACATTAATAGCATGACATTCAATGGGCTTATCCTAGCCATGGTGGAGTGGTCCAATAGGAATGAGTGTGTCAGGTCGTGTATCAAGAAATGGCTCAGGCTTATTCGAAATTAGAAGATGGGTAGAAAAAGTTAAAGAATTAAGGGGAAAAATATCTTCAAAAAATTCCACATCACGAGAGGTATATATTTGACGGCTATCCAAATCAAATATTCTATATATCCTTTTTGGCCATGAGAATAGCCAACACAAATTACTAGCTTATTTTGAGAGGCAAATTTGTCTCGAACTTTTATATTCTATAACAAAGATATCCAAAACAAAACATTATAAATGATCATAATCAGATACTTAATTAAAAAAAAAGTTCATAAGGTGTTTTATTATGTAGAATAAAAAAAGATACACGATTGATGAGATATACTCGTAATTAAGATGCATTATCCTTAAAATTGGATCAGTAAATAAGCATGAAAAAGCAAAGCTCTAATTATTTCCAAATGATGTTGGTGTTTGTGTTCCACCGTATTATTTTATTGAGAGTTATCCATGTAAGTGGTATGCCTCATCATGCCATGATCAAAGTAATAATTCATCAATTCCGTTTGGTTGAATTCAAGATCATTATTAGTAAGAAAATCTTTTATTGTAGTGTTGAATCATGTTTGTACCTAGTTGAAAAATAGCAGAAGATAATGCTTAGTTTCAAACTTTGTGTTTCATGAAAAAAAATAATCTATATGGCCTGATTGCTATCATCACCAATGGTAAGGAAATAATTTGACTTTGAATGAGATGAAGTGTGGTATGTTCTCCAAATATCACAATGCATTAAATCAAAATTGTTAACTAATTTATTAGTGCTAGTCAGAAAAGATAGTCTAATATGCTTTGCTCGACAACATGCATCATATAAAAAAAAAAAAAAAAAAATTCTTTAAAACATCACCCACGATAGAAAAGTTCAAAACTAACAATACATTATTCATTGGTATGTGTCCCAGTAGTCGACGCCATAAATCTATCCCTATGAACCTCGTTGCCATAAGTGTTTTCCCATCATTCCAGATAATATAGCCCATTTTGCATTTTATCCACTTCAATCAATTTCTTCGAGGGTAAGTCTTGTATTGAGCAAAATTCAGATCCAAAGATTATAACACGTTTGAGATTTTTATTTAATTTACTAACATAAAGTAAATTAAAACAAAACTTTGGCACTTCCAAAACATGCTCAAGTGTTAAATGATGGCCAAGTTGTACTCAGTCCAAAACTCAAATCAAAATGCAATTTTCTTTAGGAATTTGAATTGATGGAATGAATGGATTAAAGGAGACATAAGTCGTAGAATCAAAATTGCATGCTATGTGATCCATGGTTTTGATATCAATTATTTATGGGTTTATCTTCCCAGAAGAATCTTGAGAGGGCACATTAGTAGATGGGCTAGTAGAAGACCTTGATTGGCAGCCTAAAATAGTAGCAATCTATTAGCCTATGTGGTAGTGAGATGAGATAGTAGGCCTTGGGCTAAAGTCTAGAAAGGCGGTCTAGTTAACTCAGATGATGAGGATGTTGCAACATAGACGTGATAGGCTGAAAGCCCAAAATGATGAGAGCGTGCTGTCGACATCATTTGGACTAAAGGCCTAAAATGTTGGGTTTCTACTAGTAACATTAGTGACGTAAATTTGTGGGCTGCTGCTGGAGACGATTTCATGGTAGTGTGAAAAGAGGAATTAAATGAAGAATTGGTAATAGGCATGCGAGATCATCCCAGATGGTCTTTTAATTTTGGTTTCCTCTAACCATGTAGAGAATCTATCAAGGCATAACAAGTGTCCTTGATGTGATTATCACAGTTACAATTATCACATTGTAGTCATCCGCCACCTTGTTTATTAAAGGAGGATGACGCTTGAGCCAGCAATATGGTGGCTTAAACAATGAAAACACGAGTGATAGTAATATGTGGTTGTTTTTCCTCTTAGGCAGCCTTAACATAAGCCCTCCTAAGTCCAGTGAAAGCCCTACACTTAAAATATGGGATCGAATAGTGTTATATGTATCATCTAAATCCATCAAAAAATCAAATACCTTTTCCTCTTGTGCATCTCCTTTAATTTTCTTACAGCTCAATAAGTATAAACTAGAACATGTCTGAGATTTTATAACTCACTATAGATGCTCTTTAGTTTTCAATAGTATGTAGAAATAGTTGTTCTTTCCTGTTTCAATATTAATGTAAATGAACATTTGAGTTCATATACTTTGGGTGTAATTTCTTGAGCAAACCTCTCTGTAAAATCATGCGATATTTCGCTAGCAATGCTAGTTTGAGTTGCACCTGATTGTAAATTTTTTTTGGAAGTAGGATTGATGAGCCATGATTTGACTATGCATTACATTGAATTAATGATTGAAAATCCTCAGAATTAACATCGGGTTTGGCTATGGAGCCATCCACAAAACTTGTTTTATTTTTGGATTGGAAAGCATTAAGAAAGGTACTCCTCTAAGTAAAATAGTTTTCTTCACCCTCACTTAAATAGTTTAAGGGACACAAAGAGAATGGAGATTTGGTATCAACTGTGATATTAGACAGACATCAAACTACTTTTATCACTATTTGTAGAATCAGTAGTCATGACTATAAAAAGAAAAAATTATAAATTACGCTATGATATCATGAAGAGAATGCGATAATATCACTATATCTATTATTACAGAAAAATAGAAAAAGATTTATACAACTATTTAGGTTAAGTAAGTCAACTATTTCCTATAATAAAGTTATAAAATATGAAAATATCTATATATATACATAGATTATTTTTAATGAGAAAATATTTTGTATTAATGAGAAGATAATTGCCGTTATTAGTTTCCTTCTAAATATGATTCAAAAATATATATATTTTTTTCATTTACTTTATTTTTTGTTCATAACTTTTTTTTTATTTTTTATAATGCAACTTTAACTCTCCATTATCATTAACCAAAAATTCCTTTTAAAAATTTAAATTTTTGTATTTTAAACTAAAATTTTGCATATATTAATAAAAATTCAATCGACTATAAAAATAGTTATATTTTTTTAAGATAAAAAGAGTAGTTTAAATTTTTCTTAAACATTAAATATTTACAAAATTATAAAAAAATAATTTAGAATAATCTCAAATTATTTTTGGGGCTCTAAACGATCATATTCATTTATATACTTATTCTTAGCATACTTTTCGAAAATATTGATATAGTCAAATGCGTAGTACTTAACCAAAGTGTAAAATATATTAATTTTGAGAATCATACATGTAAATTTTTAGTCGAATTCCATTAACTAAATTAATTAGTTCTAGAATATTAAATTAATGACATGCTTGTTATATCTTAAGATTGTCTTAAAGAATGTCTCAAAGCTATGTTCAAATAGCTTGGTTTGGTTACATAATTCACTTAATTACATTTTTTTTTTGTGGCTTTACTCATTTGGTACGTTTGGACCTAATTTGTTACATGTTTTTTTGTAGAATTTATTGATGAGAATTTAATTTAATTTTGTCAAATTCATGGAATAAAAAAATTTAGCCTGTTGTATTTGATTTTAAAGAACTTACTTATTATACTTTAAATTTCGTTATTTTGTCCTAATATTATTGTTTATCTACGGCAGTGCCTTTTTGCATAACAATTTTCTAATAACTTTCTAACTTGACAACCATATAAATTTGGAATTTGTTGCATAAAAAGAAAAAAAAAAAACAAGAATAATACAAGAATATCTAAACTGAATAAAATGAAGGTAATTGAACCAATGTTGATCACTACACTAAATGTCATGATGAGAACTCTCAAATGATTAATTACCAGTTAATTGGTTCGTGGTACAGGTAGTATCGATCAAATGTGGATTGGTATCCCATCTTCAATTTTTTTTTTCAATTCAAGTACTATAATTATTTTTTAGTTTGTAATCAAATTGAAGATCTCATTGATGAAATTCTAAACACGTTTTTCATAAGTAATGTTGACGCTGCTGCAATAAATAAAAGACATATAGACCTTATTCTCTTTACCAACTAACTTTACATAGTGAAATTAAAAATTATCCCTCTTTAAATTAAAACCAAAGACAGGATTTTGAAAAAAAAAAAAAAACTTTTAAGGTGTGAGGACACCAGCACGGTGCATGCAGGTTTGGGTGGACTTTGATGTTGCTGCTATTCCATAACTTTTTAAACTTTTGCCTCATCAAACCCACTTGGTTTAGTTTCAAAGAGACAGACCATGCAAGGATCCAACTTTTGAATCCCACCCTTTTGTACTTGTCTATTCTGAATCTTTCCTTTCTCTTTGAAGAAAAAGACTCTAGATTTGAGTATGGGCCCCATTGCAGTAGGAGAGTGAGAGTGGAGGACGGTGGTTCCAGTCTTGCTGCATCTGAGATTTTAGAGATGAAAGAAGGTGATGATATGCGATGATGATACGTGAGAAAGAAAATGTAATAACCTATACCAATTAAAACTAAAATTAAATATTAAATACATGTGAGAAATGTTTTGAAAGTGTAAAATAATCCTTAAGAATTTGAAAGAATATTTAGAGTAGTTAAAATAGTCCTTTTATACTTAATGAATATTTTATTAATTTTATAATACGTGAATAGTAGTTTTTGTATGAAATAATTATTTGAAGTAGTTACATGTACATAAAAAATATTTTTTTTTGCTTAGAATATTTGTTAGAGAGGCGTTGAATTATTTTATGCGATTGTTTGAATTATTTTATTTTAATTTCCATGTATAGGATACATTAGTGTAGTACTTTAAATCATTTATTGCATGTTAATACCCTCGGGACATTAAAGCAAAATGATTAAGTACGCGTCAAATAAAATAGACGATAAACAAGGAAAATAATAAATAATTAAATAATAATAATAGGTTATGACTAAATAAATTTATATAAATTAACATGAAAAGAATTTAAGATAATTGATTGTTACAAACTCAATCATTTTAATCCAAAGAAAGTAATTAGAATGCCGAAACGTAAAAAATTTGTAATACCTTTTAGTTAAAGTGTGAGGCCTACTCGTCAAAATTTAGACTTTTAAAGCATAAGTTATACTTTAAGTATTAAAGATTAGGTCACGAGTGTCTTGTTAGTTTGTATTCATTGCACATTGAATGTAGTTAACGAGTGATAATATTCTCAACCTTTTAAATCTTAGGTTGGAGGTATTACGAACGAGTGCTAGCTAATAATATTTTATTGGGCAATGATATTTTATCGGTTTTAGGATTCTTTTTTGAATCTTTTGTTTATCAATACTAGAAACGTTATGGATGTTGGTGGTGGGCTTTTGTAGACATAGAAGGAGAGAGAGAGAGATGGTGGATGCAGACATAAAAAAAGGTTATGGGTTTTGTGATTATTTTACTATCATGTGTCCGTCATATGTGTTTGAATATTGGTCTCGACAGACTTTATTACAAACCAAAAATAGTTATGATACTTGAATTTATATAAAAAAAAAAGTTGAGGTACCAATCAATGTTTTATTGATAATATAAGATATTATCGAATCAATTAGTCTTAATTATTTCTAATAGATTTTGTAAAATTTGTAACTAAAAGCCGACTATATACTCATTTTCTTTCTTTCTTTCCTTTTTTATTTTATTTTTCATAGCACGCGCACGGCGCGCGCACACACACACACACACTCATATATATATATATATATATATATATATATGAAGTATTTTTAGATTAGTTTTCGCATCAATTAAGATAAAATTCATCACTCTCTTTACAAACTTATACACACATATATTATATTTTATTAAATATTTTTGCAAAACTAATTTAAATTATTAATAATATAATATTGCTCCTTATAATTTTATATTTCACAATATATAAATTTCTATTTAATTAGATTTATAATAAAAGTTTGTTATATTAAGTATTAAAAAAACAAATACTATAAAAGTAAGATGACCTTTGCTCTAAATGATACTGCACACATAGTTTTTTTCTATTATTTTAAATCACATCACTTTAGTTTTGTCGGCAATGAATAAATAAATAAATAATAAAATAATATATATTGAACAAAGTGAATGCAATTTATCAATCTTCACTATAAATCAATCAAATCGTACATGTGATCTCTCAAAAATCACTAAACTTTAATTTCCAAATGAATCGGAAAGGATTAGTCGCAAATCACAAGATAAGGAAAAAAATATTTCTACTAACAATGTTACGAAAACATGTTTCAATTCGTACAGAAGTTTGTAATCAAAATTCAGCTATTTTCAAACGAGTATGGGAAACCCTGTAGAAAGCCACTTCCTCGAAGGCTCCATATTTTTCTTTTTCCATCATATTCAATCATTTGTCCTTTTGGTTCGGCAGCCAACAAAATAAGGAAATCATAAGACTTTCTAAACAGATTAAAATGAAGGTAAAAGACCCAATCTTTGGCGTTTCGATTTCTCCCTAAATCACTGCACTTCATCCTAGTAAGAATTCCCAAAGGATAGTCATAGATCACTGGAGAATGAGGACAGACTTTCTGCTTATCATATATACATGTAAGAATTTCCAAAAGATTTTTTAACTAATTTTTTTTTCCTGACAAATTTGACAAAACTTGTAACAAAAAGCCACATACGAAGCCACTTCGTCCGAGGACCTTGGCTCTAAATAGTACTTCGTACAATAACTTATCCATTATTTTCATATGAAAACTTGCAGTGTGTGATGTGTCTCCGAAAAGAACTCTTTGAAGAAAGAGAAAGAAAACACTTTAAACCTGTTCACATAATGCATCCATTGACACAAATGTTTGTAACTAACTGTGCCTGATTTCAAACCAAGATGATAAAACTTGTAATATAAAAAGCCAAACGAGAAGCCCGATTTCTAGGTCTTTCATAACCCTCACTAAGTTGAAATCCATTTCTTCCAACACTGACGTGAGAATGACTTGAACAAGAAGATTAATATTATACTCATTTTTCTCCAAGGCGTTAAACTCTCATGTGAAAGTTCATAGGATTGGCGTCATCTCAAAATGAAGGTGAAAACCTTTCAAGTTTTGAATAGAATTAGAAATACCTGACAGGTTATGATCAGATTTGAGATGCGCGGCCAAGTTCATGCACTAATGTTTAAATTAAATTCAAGTCAAAAAGTTCCATTCACAAGCAGTGACAGTTCTAAGATTGAAGACTTGGGGGCCAAGAAAATTTCTTCTTTTTATTAGAGATTAACATCTACCTATTCCCATAGGCCTTCAAGAGCCCTCGACATCAGACGATCTCCTACTCTGGAACTAAATTTTCAATGTTATGTCTTCTCTACCCTTTACTTTCAGTGCAATTGATGGTGTGCATCCAAAAAGGTCCACAAGTTGTCAAGCACAATTGATTTGGATCAAGGAAAAAGTAACTAAATGGACAGGCCTCTCCATTTGAAAATCAATGTCCAGTTAAACTGAAAATGTTATCTAGTTAATGAATTCATTAGCTATATTAAGTTTCAAATCAGCCCTGGTCTTAGGTCAACACTACATCTAACTCCTTGTTTGGATATTTCCTCTTGGGAGGAAAGAAAATAGAGGAAAGAAAGTAAGAGGAAAGAAAAGGGAGAGGAAAGAAAACTATTTTCCACTTGTTATTTGGATAAGAGTGGAAATGAAAGAAAAAAAAAGTATATTTTTCTTATTTGGATAATTGTAAAAAGAGTGAGGAAAGAAAATATATTATTGTATATTTACTATAATACCCTTATGCTTATATTTCTATATTTAAATACTTATATATTAAATTTGTATGAATATTTTTTTCATGAAAATAACACAAATGATAATAAAATAAAAATCTAGCATGTAGCATTTATCCGAAATGATAAGATGGATAATGAATCGTCTACATAAAATAATCAATAACTCGTTTATTAATTAATTAATTTAATAGCCAATTTAGCTTAATTATCAACATAAAATTAATTTAAATATGTATAACATGTATTATTACCTATGCATATAATAAGTTAGTTGCTTTTACCTATCATTTTCTCCGTTTTTTTTAAATAAAAAATTACTATTTAGCAATTAAAAAAGAGAGAGTATATTGTAACATTGTGAACAATCATGAAAAGTCAATTGAGTCACAAAAAATGAGATAAACCATAAATAATTTTTATTTCTTCTTTTGCAGTAACTCCAAAAAGTGTTCGAGGGGTTGTTTTGAGGGATATTTTTTTGTCTATTTTGGTGGGTTTTTTTGGTGGTTTTGAATCTGGTATGGAGGTGTTTTTGGAGCTTCTTTGGTGGTTCAAATGACCCGTCCAAAGGGGTTGCTCTGTAAAGGTTTTGAGGGGTTGTTGGTAACGGTTTCGTGGCTGAGTTTGGAGGCTTTGGGTAGGTGTTGAGTCCGTTGGTAACACCCACTCACGTTTTTGTTTCCTTTGGAAACCTCTCAATACTTAATAGTAATGTTAAAATAAACAATATTTTTATATTCATTTCAATTGTAGTTAATAAATTTATTAGAATAAGTCTCTATCATTATGATTAATAATTACTAATTACATTTACAATACAAAAGAAATCACTTCGTGGGGTTGCGAGGTGACGATCCCGATCAACTCGTGGCACACAAAGACATGACTCAATTACTCACTCTCCTTATTTGCTTGTCTCATCACTTCCATCTTCTACCGGTGCACTGGAGAACCGTCGCCTGCGACTCAAACTCATATCCAACGACTCGTGAAAGCGAATTCATCACCTTCGGTTGCGATCGAAGAGCCGTTGCTTCGGACGATGGGTGGTGGGGGGAAAGGGAGGTGGTCGGCGACGAGAGTGGCAAGAGTTGTGCTTTTTGGGATAAATTCGGGGATTGGGTATTTGTTGATGTTGGCCGTCATGTCGTTTAATGCGGGGGTGTTCTTGGCGCTTGTTTTAGGATTGGCAATTGGGTATTTGTTGTTTAGAAGTGAAGATGAGAATTTGATGATTCTTGACAATCCTTGTGCTTGTGCTTAGACGATAAATAAAATAAAATTATCGTATAATTTGTAAGAAAAAAATATTAAATTCATCCTCCTAATGGTGTGTATTTTTTTTGTCAAAAATTTCTATTTTTTCAACTGTTCTTTTGGGTAATTAGAATTTTAATTTGAATTGAAAATGTTAAGCGAGTGAACAATTTCGTGAGGTAGAAGTAGGAGCAATTCAATTCGAATTGTGTTTTAGTTTTTCAATTGCGATGATTGCCGACATCCGAAAGCATCGAAAAAATTCATCATTTTGGGTTGCTTCTTGAAGGTGTAAAGAGATGTCTCCAACTCGATATTGATATAGGATTGGTGCTATCCAAGATCACTCGATTTGATGCATCAACTATCAATTCAAATATCATTGGAGGTCTCGTTTCAAGGAGTTTAAACCGAAAGAGAACTCGTCATTCCTCATATTTTAATGGAACTGTCATACCGCTTTTTTATTTTTTTAGATCATGTATTTTCCATACATGGTTTTAGTTTGATCGAAATATGTTATCCAAAGCCACCGTGAAGCTTGAATTGTAGAACACTCATGTATGTACAACCGGGACGGGATGATAGAACTTTGCCGGACTCGGAATCCCGGTTGTGTAATGCGATACTTCGTGCCGCGATTGCTCCACACCGCTACGTCTCATGAACCGCTCCGCACCTTGCCTTCCCGCGCACGAAGTGAATGGGCCATGTGCGTCGGTTTCGAGGCCGGTGGGGGGGGGGCAAAAGAGAGTAGAAGAATGATTCATTTGGATTGACGAGCTTTTTCAGCCCCAAAACTCAGAATCAATGGAAGCGGAGAGTGAGAAAAGGAGAGGGACGATGAGGCGGATGGACGGCAAAAATGAGATTGAGAAAATTTTTGATGATTTCTCGGGTTTCTTCTCCCGTTTTCCTCCCAATTTTGGAAGGAAAATAGGTTCCACCATTTATAGGTTTATTTAATATATTTTTTTTCTTTCCACTCGCTTTCCTCTATAATCCAAATGAGGGAAAACTTTCATTTCCACTCCTATTTTCTTTCCTCTCCCCTGCTTTCATCCCTATCTAAACAGGAGGTAAATGCGTTATAAAAACCAACAGCATAGATAAAAGGACCCTCAGAAATCTTTGCTGCTGAGATAACTAAAAGAAAAGTAAAGGAAAATGCAAAGGCAATCCGATGGAAAAGTGGGAATTACAAGAGCGTGAGGGAGAACAATAAAAGAAGGTAGTTATCTATAGTAGCAAACTAGCAATAAGAGGAAGTTCCATGCATTGATTCATTCAGCAACAACAAGAGCATTCATATTCACTCCAAACAATAAATTCTGCAGACTTTTAAGAAACCATCTTTGAACATCAGAAAGCTTTCACTTTTCTAGCAATTGAAGGCCTCAAACTACTTGATTTGTATAGCTTTATCATATATGCAATGGTAAATTTTTTTCCTCAAAGTTTACGGATCCAAGTCAGATACTAAAGATGGTAATTACCAACTAAAGAGTTGTTTGAATTAATAACTGATTCTTCTGTCAATTGATTTTAGGACTGAGGTAAAATTTTGGATCTCTGAAAAACTTTGTAAGTGTCTCGGCCTTGTCTGCTGAAAGGTCTGTGTTCTCCAGAATATATTCCTTGGATGCCTTGGCAATCGTTTCAATTGAACCGATAGCTTGATTGAGCTGAAAATATAAGAAAGAGGTGTCAATTGAAGAGGTTTTGCCTCCCAGAACCTACAACTATGGCAACAGAACTCAAATAAACAGTCAGCAGTTTCTCGGTGAGTCTCCTTTATGAGGACAAATTGCAAAGCAAAATAATAACCTTGTCAAAGAGCTTTTATTTATTTATTGTAATGAATGAAACTGCCATTAACAAATAAACCAGCTAAGCAGGTAGCAAGCTTATTCCTGCTACAAAGCTGTTCAGCAGCTCAAAAGATTGCTTAGATTCTAGTTACATCAAAGAAGAAAAGCAACAAACTTGGACCAAAATACTAGAAAGTTACTTCCCTGCATCCCCTGACTCCCCCACACAGTGCAGTATCCTTCGGATAGCTAAAACATTGTCAAGGGTTTTAATTTTATGCAATCTTAGATTGACAGCAGAAACAATCATATTCTTATGAACTTCAACAGACTGGTCCTTTTCATCATGGTTTTTCGTATTTGTTTCCTTCCAAATACTATAGATATATGAGCTCCAAGAAAGTCTGAGAACAACAAAAGAGGACAATAGACTTTAAATATGTATCAGGGAGCTTTTAAATGTGAAATACATTAGACTTTCCTGGATCTTTGATTTTGTTAATGACCATTCCAAGCAAATGGATAATTCACAGATGGAATAATCCTATTAAGAGGAATTATAAGAAATCTTAAAGTAATTGGCTGGAAAATATGAATTTAATTACAGAATTTGCGTCATGGTTATCAATGCCCAGTATGGATGTCACCACTCTAAGAAAATTGCCCATCCCTTGCACTGATTGCTTCCTCTTCAGATGCAAGTGAAAAAAAAAAAAAAAAGAAGTTGCAGCACGAAATAAAGTGAGTATATGATCTTGAACAGTAGGATCTTTAGCTAATACAAGCAATCAAGAAAATAACTTCATGAACTAACCTCAGCTTTCAATTTTGACAGAACATCCTGCCGCTTGCAGGCTGCAGCTTATAAATTAAAATTTAATGAACCAGTACTTGCAAGTAAGCCTGAAATTCATTTTTAGCAAAATAAGAACTTACTCCCACGAGAATGAGCTATGTTTACAATCTTTTCAAATCCCATCTCCAAGTCTTGAACTGGAACAAATGTTGGCTTGCCAAGCTCCATTCCATATCTTAACCATATCCAAGCAAATATTAAGTTCTTTATAATCAGAGTCAGAATTCAATGACATCAACATAAACATTAGCTTCATATATAACTTACTTAAAGTAAGAGTGAACAAATGAATCATTTTGCTCCTTGGTAGGGAGGGAGACAACAACATAAAGATTTGCGAACTGCCCCTTCAGCTTCCTAACTCTGCTTTAATACAATAGATCATGACAACGTTGAAACATTGCAAGAAGCTATAAGAAACAAGTTTCTAGCATACCTGCAAAAGATTGGCTCACAGTTTTCACAATCCCAGTTTGTCACGAAGATAAAAGCCACAGACAAACCCCCACAGTTAAAAATACAGTCCTACATATGATGAATAAAGCAATGAATTTAGAACTATATTATGTGTGCTTGTGCATGTAAATAAAAAGAAAAGGTTAAACAAAGGCAAGTACTACCGGCGCAATTGGAACAAAGTTAAGGCGAAAGGAATTCGCACTTAGGAATGATGCGATGAAGTTGATGAGAGATGGGTGTTGCTCATCTCTCCATTTAGTATTCATCATACAAACTCCAGCACTACTACCTGCAATTACTTAATCAAACAAAAATGATACAGTAATACCACTTTAGAACACATCCAGATGTACGTACCTTAAACAGAAATTTGGTAATGCTACTCTATATTTGAATAAATGTGTGCAAATTGAGCTGATTTTTCCATATAAATAAAGTGTGTGGAAGTAATTTCAGCTTAGATCAAAATTAAAACCTGTGCCATTTTCAAGTTTAAGATTTATGAAATTAATAAACAGTTTTATACGTGAATAACTCAGCAGTAATAACATGACTGAAACAATCAAAAGTGATTAGGTGTTGGATTTTTCATACATTTTCTCAGCAACCAAACAAAAGGTAAGGCTCTCATTGCTTGGCAGAGAAAATGTATGAAAGGTACCAGAATTTACGAAATTTGATCTCAAGAAAACTAAATACAAAAGTAATCTTTTTTTTAAAGGACACTATTCAAGATATTCATTTTCCTCCACTTTCTCAGCAACCAAACAAATTAATGGTGAACACTCTCATTTATTTGCAGAAAAAAGTTACGAGATTAGCTATTGAAAAAAAAATTATAATAGTATAATAACTAGTCATATTCCGAGGGAATTAAAAAATATAAAATCTAAACCAAAAATTAAACAGCAGAGAAAGAACAACATAACCGAGAAGATCCAAATTTCTCAGCAATTAAAAAGAAAATCAAAGGAACCAAGGATGAGCAAGTAGGGAATCAAGAAAGGAAACCTGAATTTGATGGAATTTGAAGAGATGAATCTCTGTAACTGGAGTTCAAATTCGCCATTTTCAAACCCTCGAGCGCGCGAGTGAGAGAATTGCGTAAGATTGGAGAGAAGCGGGAAGGTCCGGACTTTTGGTGCTTGTAATAGTATAATAACTAGTCATATTCCCGAGGGTGATAAAATTTTAACCGTTAGATTATTATTTAGATCGCTTCTAGTAACGTTTCTCAATTTTGGTTTCCTGTTTTAAAAAAATCAAAAACCACTTTATGTTTATTTTTGTAGAAAAATATATAAAGAAATCTAATTCAAGAAATATAATAATATATTATTAATTTGAAAATATAAAAAATAATGTAACTTAATTATGATGATTAAATTGTGACATCATGAAAGTAACATGCATGATAACGGTTATGATGGTAACAACATGGTAATGATTAACATGGTGTTGAAAATAATGATAACAGATTATAATAATGCCGAACTTATGATAATTATTATTTTAGTGATAAATAATGATGGTTATAGTGGATGATAACAACATGATAACGACAATTCAAATAAAATGATAATAATAAAAATAGTCATGATATGCCTATGTGAAAGTTATGGAGATAATAATGATTATGTTAAAGAAGTTAATTATAAAAGTAGTAATGTTAAAGGAGATGATATTAGTGAAGAAGTGAAACAAAAGTGGTAATTATACTCACCATGATGACCAAGATAATTGTAAAGAAGTGAAATCAAAGTGGAAATGTGACGAGTGGAGGAGATATTAATGATCGTTGTAGTGGTATGGTGGTGAATATATATATATATATATATATATATGTGTGTGTGTGTGTGTGTGTGTGTGTGTGTGTAATTTATTTGAAAACCACTTTTTGTTGTTTTAAAAAAAATCTATTTTAATTTTTAAAATTGTTCATCAACTAAACAAATAAAAAAAAAAAGTGCATCCAAACACGGTTTTTGATTTGTTTTCTTTTTAAAAAAAAAAAAACCTTAGTGATACCAAACAACACCTAAGGGTTATTTATTGTTTTCATTTTTTGTATTTGTTTTCAAAATTTTGAAACATTTGATTTTTTTTTTTTTCACAACAACGAGCATCCTTGGGTTTGCGCATCAACTAATACTAAGTCCCTCTTCGAATGATATCGAAGGTGCACCTCACATTGGTATAATGTATTCAAACAAATTTAATGAATTATTCCAAATGCTTGGGCCCAAAGGTTGAATCCTAAAAAATCAAGGGAACAAATTTTCTTAACCATCACGCTAACTCCTTGGGGTTGTTTTGAAAACCAAAAAAATTAGTTTTCAAAACTAGTATTTTATATTTCTAGAATATGTTTTGGAGTTAGTTTGGGTTCAAATGAGCATGGATCATGCTTGGGTTCGAGCCAAGATTGAGTCCATGATGCCTCGAGATTGGGTCCAAGACATTAGAGTTTCTAAGTAAGAAAGCCAAGAGTCAATCTTAATAACATAAATATTCCATTGAAAATAAGTGCATTTTCAAAAAAAAAAAAAAAAAAAACTCAACCAAACTAGTTTTCAAATTTTAAAAAACAAATAAAAAAACATAAAATTGAAACACAAACAAAAAATAGATATATAAAAACAAAAATGATATCGGACGACAACTTAGTTACTTGATTTTATTATCATAATCTTGTTTCGAACTTGATAAAAAAATTTCAATAAATATATATACATAGACACTTTATATGCTCAATATTCTATTACATTTAAATTTCTAATTATTATCGATTTTGAACAAAATACTATTGATGGAGAATGAAGGATCAATAGGAAATTGACATTTTTTTTTATGAACTTTAATATTTTATGATTAATTCGGATTTTATTATATAGGAATGTTAATATTTATTATTTAGTAGTTTAATTAGGTATTTAGTTTCTTTATTAAATTAAGACTTATTAGGTTTTCGCATTTTATTTGGTTTGGTGAATGTAAATAACCATAAGCACTTGGAGTTTCGAGTTGTTGAATTATTGAATAAAATTAAACGGAGTATTGTTTAAGATTGAGTTTGTCTCTTTAGTATTACTTTCTTCAAGATTGAATGCTTCTCTCTTGATTTCTTTCTTCAAGATTGAATATGTCTCTCTTGTTGATGATTTTGATTATCTTTTCTACATCAAATCTCTTAAATAGATGATTTTGTTCTATAGTTCTACATCAATTTAGCCGGGATCAAATAATGAAAACCATTGTATATCCGAACCAAGTCATAATTATACGGTTCGGTAATAAGAACATTAATGATGAGCTTAATCCCTTGCGTATCCAATAAAAACCTTACATATAGAATTACGGATCATCTTGCCACGATTAACAACCTCAACTACCAAAGGTTTGGCGAGAGTGCGACAACAATGTAATTTTTAAGCTACCTCGGGTGTTGAGAAATTATGAGTGGTACTTGAATCTATCAAAATGTTAAGGATCCTTTTGTTTGCTTACTCAAAACCTATGAGGTATGAAACCTAGAAATTCTTTCTAGTGTATCAAGCTGAAATGTGAGGAACAACTTCTTCTACATCTTCCTCTAAAGAGTCACCATCTACGAGGCGACCCTCCACCACATGAATAAAGTATCGTTTTTATGGCTATAAGTAAACTTTTCATTACGAGTAGAAACTATGATACCCTCAACTTAGGACCTAAATAGATCAAGAGTATTAACGAGTGTTGATTTATACTTAGAGTGCAATAAATGCAAACTAATAAGCTTCCTTCCTTTACATTTCTAAAACATTAGCAAAATGATAGTTTGCGTACAAAGTCTCTAATAAATAAGAAATAAAAGATCCAAATTAATTAAAACGTAAGTATAAAAATTTTCAAAAATTCTAATAAGATCAATTAATATTCATTCCTACATCATGTGTAGAATATTAAATGTTATAATTTGATCAAAAACTCATATTTTTAGATTCCAATTTAACAAATTAAATAAAATACCTTATATTAGAATGAATAGTACCATGTGTGTTAATTTTCCCAAATTCCTTCTAAAAATTCATATTTAATTTAAAATAAAAATATTCAATTCCCAAATGTTCAATAAAATTTGGTATGATTATTTTTCATTATTTTCATTCCAAAAATAATTTAATTATAACATATTCAATTTAATTAGAAATATAATCAATATATATATTGATCCATTAAATCTTGATTTAATGCCATTATTCTTATAAAAATTCCATAGGCTAGAAATTCATTAATTAATTCAATTAAGCACTTAATAAATTCATTTAGACCTTTAATTAAAGTTTTAACCATTCAAAACATTTTTTTGGACTTATGGAACTTTGGTTCCAAATTTATTTAAACTAGCTTATTAAATTAGTCCATTACATGCATTTATTCATTAACCATTAAATTTCATTTAATGCCTTAACCTTTGAAACCAATTTTACCTTGCCATTTTAATTCCATACTTCTTACCATTAAAACTTTAGCTTCTAAACCAATTAACCATTCAACTAATACTTCCATTTAACCTTAAATTATTTCCATTACTTACTATATTAATTTCTTAAGTCTAATTCAATTAATTAAACGAGTCAATTAATTCCTTAAGCTACTAAACTAAATAGCTAAGGACATAAACATACAATCTAATTCTCAAACATAAAATTCATCATTTACATACCATAAATTGATTAACCTAATATCCATTTCTAAATCTAAAAATAAGGTAAGAAAAGGTAAAAGTTCCCTTAGTTATTTTACATAACTATGCACACAATATGACAAGTCTATCTTTCTCTTCGATGATGATCATTTTCTAACCTTTTAGCACCTACACTACAAGAAACTAGGTGAGCGTTGTTCGGAAAGTGTAATCTATAATATGTATGTAGTGCTCATTATGTAGGTAATGGTATGCTTCGAAAACCATTTTCGTGCCTTTTGAAATTCATTTTCCTCCTCGGGCACACCCTACTAATTGTGTATATAATCAACCCTCTTTTAAAATATGTAATTTGTGAAAAACTCACAAAAAGCACTAGACACTTTTCCTTTTACTTATTCTTTCCTTCGTAATCGTTAAAACCGTCATTAAATAAGTTTAAGGATGTTCAAGGCATAGAAAAAATGTTTTGTGGGTATGAAATAATTTCTAAGGGGCTATTAGAATATTCAAAGTAGTTAAGATAGTTTTTCCATACTCAATGAATATTTTACTGATTTTTCGATACATGAATAGTGACTTTTTATGTGAAATAATTATTTTAAGCAAGTTAAATGTGTATGGTTTTTTTTCTTTTTTTGTATATAATATTTGTTAGAGGGGTGTTCGATTATTTGGCATTATTAGATGAATTTCCTAATATTCGGTGATTATTTTATTTGAACTTTACGATGCATGAATAATGTTTTCCGGATAAATTAATTATTTTAAGTGCTTTAAAGGTACAAGAAAATTATACAATGGACACAAGAAAATCATCTAGGATGTGTAGGAATATTCCATGAACTTAGATGAATTTTTCTATGCATAGGAAATATTTTTTGTCAAAATAAGTGTATTTCTATACAAAATAATTAATTAGAGGGCTTAAATAAGTGTATAAAAATTATGTGAATGATGCTTAAATTCTTATAAGAGGTGTATAAATTTATTATGAAAAGAAATTAATTTTTGGAAAGGTGTGAAATAAATTTTACGGAATTAGGGACATAATTGCATAAAATTAGGGACTTAACTGCATAAAATTAAAAGTTTAAACTTAAATTTTAAGAATTAAAAATTTGTTAGAAAACCTTTAAAGAAAGGGCCTAAAGTGATCAATCAAATAAATCGAGGGCTTAAGGAAGACTAATTGTAGGAAAATTCTAGATATTGAGGAACTAAATTAGAGCAATTTTGTGAGAGATTTTTCCCCCTCTTTGCCGACTTAATGCATTAATTAAGGATAATTTTTGGTTAAATTGATGGCTAGGATTAAGCTAAATGGAGGGTTTAAATTAAAAGAGAAATAAAAGGCTAGGACGAAACCAATTGAAGGGTTA